TTTGCTTGATTTTAAATGAATATAAAACCAAATGAATAATTTTAACGATGATCCTGATGATGACGAAGATGATGGTAATGATAATGGTAAATGATAAGAATAATAAGAAGAAAAAAGATGATGATGATGATGATTTAAAAATTTAAAAAATATTTTTCAAACAATGTGAACGATGACTCAAAGTCTGACTTTTAATTCAACGCTAATGAGTCTCCATATCTACATCATCTTCATAGCTTCTTTCAAAACGTTTTTTGTGTGTGATTGTGTGTGTGTGTGTGTGTGTGCGTTTTGCATGTGTGTATGTGTTTTGTTTGTGTGTGTGTATGTGGGTGTCTGTGTTTGTATGTATGTGTTTTGTGTGTGTGTGTGAGTGTGTGTGTGTGAGTGTGTGTGTGTGAGTGTGTGTGTAAGTGTGTGTGTGTGTGCGTGGGTAGTATATGTATGTGTTATGTGTGTGTGTGTGTGGGTAGTTTATGTATGTGTTATGTGTGTGTGTGTGGGTGTGTGTGTATGTGTGTGTGTTGGTGTTTTGTGTATGTGTGTGTGAGTGTGCTTAGGTAGTTTTCTTTTCTTAAAACTAAAATATGACTTTATTTTTTTTCAAAATAATTCAAACTATAAGACACGAGAAGAGATTTTTCTGCTATAATAAAAGGAATATATTAATAGAAAATAAATTTTATACATTAATTCATTTGCTCATTCATTCATTCATTCTTCATTCATTCACTCAATCATTCACTAATTCATTTACGTATTTATACACATAAAATTCAATATGTAATATGTATATATTATTTAATATGTTTGTATGTATGTATCAAATCAAATCAAATCAAATCACTTTTATTCAATCAAACAAAACAAAAGCATGAATGATTCGGAGACCAAAAAAAGAAAATTAATTCTTGTGGGCTCGGCCACCGTGCAGCTCAAAATTGCTTCTCAATGATAAAATAAAATTGTCAATAGGAGAAAATGTATCAATGTTAATGAAATATGTACACACTTATATACATATATATACATATACATTATTATCCTTGAAAAACAGAACTTTTCGTAATTAAAAAATTTTTCAGTTTGTTTTTAAAAAGATGCAAAGTGTTACAATCTTTAATTTCTTGTGGAATCGTCTCCCATATTCCTGGGCCGGTATGTTTCAAACTCATGCAGAGTACTTTAATTCTGGCTGGTGGAGCATAG